TAGTGTCATCTGAATCCTGCTTATCGAAATATAGCGTTAGGTATTGGTGGATAACTAAAATAGTTCGATTTAGGGCAGAAGCTATATGTTCTACTATAGGAAGTGTATATTAAATTTAAAAAGTAATGTATTGATTTATTGCTTATATTTACAATTTCATGGTATCTAATGAAATATTAACGCTATTGTGTAAAATGTTATAAAGATGTTCGGAAATCAATTTTGTTTAATTTTACATTAAAAAAATTTTTGTTCTTTGCTGTGAAAAACTGAAGTAGAGGTGCATTGAAATTGTCCTCCAGATCTGAAAAATATGATAGGCGTAGTAGCTATTAAAACTTTTGGCGGGTTATCGAACTTTGATGAGATCTCGCATTATTCTGGTGGAGCATTATACTATCTCTGTTAATGATTTTTGGCTTTTTCTGCTTAAGTGCATAAGTCAATTTGTACAGCCGAATTCAGTATACTTAAGATGTGTTCCTTCTTTTGTTGTCGTTGTGGAACTTCTAATGGCTATTATTTCGGAAAGAATAAATTGAACGAAAAATAAATTTTAAATCTTTATAAAAATTTTTGAATTAGAGTTTTCTTGAATTAAAAATTAAAACGAATTAAGTTATTAAGCTATATAATTTTTCTTGTTCTAATATATGCATTTTTGCTTCCTTAAGTTCTTAAGATATACAATTTTCCTTATTTCAATATATGCATTTTTGATTTAATATTTCAAAAATTCAATAAACTGATTTGTTTTTGCTTAATATTTCATGTTAAATTTCTTAAATACAAAATTGAATTTTCAAAATAGAATTTTCTAAGAAACTAATTGGTTCATAATTTGTAAGGCGTGTATTCGAGTAATGTCTATAGCACAAAGTATGCCTTGCCTACCGAAAATAGTAAGAGCTTTTGTTGGAATTCAATATTCGATGGAGCACAATGCCAATTGCCAGAAACAGACGCGTCTATTCGCATCAATTACAGTACAAAGAGTGCAATTGTATATACTTACATAGATACAGTCGAAAACGGTACGGGTGAGTATATATGTATGTATAAAACACAATTATGTAAGTGACAAAATTTATGGATGTTAATACTTATAGACACCAAATGTGTGCCTCTAAAGCACTTAGACTTGCCAATGCACTTACAAGTGGAGCAGTGGATGTGCAAGCATTGGGAGTGCATTTGATATTTTCAATTCCGAATTATTTGTGTGCGGCACGGCCACCCATTAACAAGGGCAACCAGACAACCAGGCAAGCTGGCAAGCTGGCAAAGCTGGCAAATCCGGCAAACCGGCAAACGCGCAAACGGGCAACAGGCAGGAGTCGCGATGTATGATGTATTTTGGCCCGCAATATTAATAAAGTTACAGAATGGAGCGCATACCTTAATATGCATATGCGATTCTGTGACTATCGCATTGATTTCAAAGAATGGAACTTTTTTCACATTAAAGAAACTCATTAATATGCAGACAAGAGTATCAATTACACGAAAATTACTTGGCACAAACGAAACTTTACTTTACTTTCGAGTTGCGCGTATGGTTAACCAAAGGGAAAATCTGAATGCATATACGGACTTGTCAAGTGCAAAGTGACATAAAGTACAAAGCATATAAGCCGCTAAAGATAAAATAATTACTTTGCATATTCATTTTATGTAAAAATTTTAAACTTTTACTTAGCACTGAGGCGTATATATCGTACGAGTATAAGTACTCGCATAAATACTCGTATTTGTTTGCTTATCTCTACGAGGATGTCTGTGTAATAGCTTAAATATTCATCTCAATTAATTAAAACGTACGAGTATATATATTTTATTTATGTACTTTTTGCACTCACATGTCATAAATTGCATTTCCGAGTGGAGACTTTATAAATTGCACTACTTTAACAATCAAAGGAGTGCAATAAATGCAACGGAATGAATTCATATGGAAATGTCATCCTGCTGAGTTTTAGTTGCTTTTATAGCTTATCTTAACGCATTTTTAATATGTGCAATGTTTAAATATGCCAATGATTTCGCCTACAGTGGAAGAAATTATATTACAAACTCAGTAAAATATTTACATGTACACTAGGTGGATTGATAAATACCCGGCCTAAGTAATAAAAACGTATTGTTTTTTTGAAAATTATATTTTATGCTTTAATATAGTCCTCAATTAGCTCAACATATAGAGTCCAATGACCAACATTTCAACATTTGGATACTTTTAAAATAATACGATTTATCAAGTCCTCAGTTTCATCATTTGATGCAAAACTCTTTCCCTACAGTCATCTATTCAAGTTTGAAAACAGTTATTAGTCAACCAAATCTGGAGAGTACGCTGGATAAGGAATAAATTCGTACTCTAATTCATTTCATTTTGTTATGGTTTTCATTGATGTGTGAGCGTATACGTTCAGCGGGTCCTACAAACACAAAATTTTTTTTCTTCGACAAATGTTTTTTCTTGATTTCCTCATTCAATGGATCCAATAATATGCGAGAGTAATCTCATGTTATTGTATTTTCTTTTTCTGAATAGTATATGAAAATAGTATATGAATCACGTAACAAACACGTCATGAAGGCTAAGAAACGACTGAACAAGAGCTATGAAAGGACTTAAGAACAACAAGCAAGCAGGCATAGATGGTCTACCTCCAGAATTTTGTTCAAGGTTGGAAGTGATGTACTGGTGAGGAACGTGTATAAGCTGATCTGAAGAATATGAACGAAACTACGCTTACTAATTGAAGCCTCTTCCTATTCTGTTTTGAATAAAGGTGATCCAACTATAGACCTGCATTCCCTATAATCTCGTAATGGTTCCACAATTAAGAAGCAGTTGGGGTTCCGCGTTAAGTACTTTTTCAATAGAGTTACTTTAAAAAAAAACTGGTTATCACTTTATTTTTTAATTCCAGCAAAATCACAACTAATTTCACAGGTTTGATCCACAGTAAATTAATTCCGTAAAATCCGTTTAACTACAAATCTTTAATGCTTCTAAAACGCACTGAGTTTTTGCATATCTCCATAGTTTCTAGTATGATTTGTGTTTAAGAAACACGTTTGTGTGCCATATATTTTGAACTGATTTTATTTTAATATTAAAATTGCATTGTCGGGCGCTACAATTTGTAGAGTAATTATAGTCTCATCTCATTTATTTAATGTGAGTATTTAATAAATATGCTTAACATATCAAGAACTACACTGAAAGATGTCTTAACCGGAGACCAACTAGAGTACTATTTTTGTCCCGTTAAGAATAGAAAACTTTTAAAAACAAAAATATTTTGAATGAAACATCAAAGCTGTGGTTTAGCAGTCTAACAAAGTTAGTATAGATGCCAATTTGTAAGCCATTGAACAATTAAAACAATTTATCAAGAGCTGAGATTATAGCCTAAGACTTTGTTTGGTGTTATATGCAATATACAGAGTGTTTCCTAATTACGTACTCTAAACTTCGAAAACGATGTGTTGTTGTTGGAATAGAAAAATGTGATTTGAAGATAGAGAGATGTTTTATTTACAATACCCACCGATATATAACGTGTCAGAGAAGAGTCTTCTCGAAAAATTTCTTTCAAATATCATAAAATCTATTCATCAATATGAATATATCTAAATAATTTAGGAAAAGACAAAGGTTGAAGAAAATATTGTTTGATAACATGAAAACTCTTTTTTACAAAGCCTTGAAATTTATTATAGACATAATATACTATCATATATGTGAGAAAGTAGAGTGTACTTGTAGTCATCATTACTAATTATATTTATTTTATTTATTGATGTTATGCACTTCATTGGTTACGCCAATACCTGCTTTGGAACTAGTGCAACTGGGTGGCATGGAAACGTTAATAATGTCAATTTTTGGACAGGTAAAATGAATTTAGTGTCGTTCATAATTAAATGAAGTGCTTGAGTTATAAATTTAAATACTCACAATAAAGTCAAAAAATAAGTTAAATGATGCTCTCTTTATAGTTAATACTTACTGAAATAAATTACGAATACATATATTAAAAATCCCGCAATCATTTTAGTTGGGATATGTTGCAATCATAGACGTTATTGTCACTTTATCATATAAATTTAACAAAACATTGTATATAGTAACATTTTTATATACAATATTTATATAGTATATATCATAAGTAATGTTAATACTTAATATAAGAACTAATATCAGTCTGTTCTTGCGTACTATACTCGTATATGGGTCTTACATGTATATATATTTCTTATATATTGCTTAGTATAATGAGTTGTTTAGTTACAATGAGTTGTTTAGTTCAATTTAGAAATTGAAAAATTGTATGAAGTTTGTAATATTATATTAAAATTCATATAGAATTATATATTTATAGATTTTCAATTTTCGAACCCATTATCTCAAAAACTAAGCTATAATATTACACCAAGTGGAGAGGGAAGAATTGCCAATTTGAGAAACAATATCAATAAAGACAGTTATTTTGGAACTGTCTTTAGTATAAATGATATATATGAATATAGCTTAGTTTTGGAGATATCGGGCTTTAAAGTTAAAATTTTGATAAAAAAATTACAAACAGTATATAGATGTACCATTGAGTGTTTCTATTTGTCATCTGTGTAATAAAATTTGCATATACTAGTTGAAGCTAGACTGCTAGAAAGCTAGAAAAATGTATTTAATGACTATATTTCGAGAAGAAAGCTATATTGACATATAACGCAGAGAAATCTCTAATCGAATTAGTATACCCTGGAATTCGGTATTGCTAAAGAAGTCCTTTAACAATGAAGTCTTGAATATACTTAAATAATTTATAAAATATTCCTATGTTTTTATGATCTTCCCATATTTTTATGATCTTCCCATATTTTTATGAAGAATATTAATATGAACATAGTAGCCAATTAAACCTTTAAAAAATGATATGTGAATGAAATTTTATTTAAAAGTTACAAAACTATTTGCATTTATCTAAATTGAAAATTATTCTAAATTTAATGTTGAAAAATCACATAGGTTCTTTAAGGAATTCTTTTGCATTTATCGTAAATAAAATTCCTAAATAAAGTGTCTCTAAATTTAAAGTTATTACTTCCAAAGGATCTTCGAATGCCAGCCCATGCCTTTGCTACTTACGAAATATAAAGTTTCCAATAAGGTTTACAATGCTATGCGACTGTTGACAAAATGTCTTAAGCGGAATGCTGAAGAAGGTTTTAAATTCGTAGTCCCGGAAAACCGAAAAACAGTAGTAAAGATTGAAAATACTTATAAGAAATGTGGAACTAATAGTGGTATTAACTTGAATTTAATCCAGCAATCATCGTGCATTAAACGTGGTCAATTCTATGTAAACTTAGATCGTTTGGATGACAAGTATTTCAATAAATTCGATAAGAGAAAAGACTCAGATAATCATTTTGATGATGAGATTAAAAACACAGTGGAAGAAAAACTTATGAATCACATGGCTTCGGGATCAAATCTACGTTATTCCACTAAGTCTGCTCTACATTCCATAATTGAGAGACTACCCAGAATTATTAAAATTGATTATAAATTATCATCTCCCCAATACAGGAACGTAATATATAATATAGATACAAAATTTATAAAAGAAGGCGCTCTAGAATACACACCAGAGAAACCTCCCGAAGCAGAACTGAATACAACTACAACTGATGTGTCTTTCAAACTTTTAAACAAATTGAATGTTAAGAAAACTCTTAAAAGTAGTACAGCTAAAGTTATTAAAAAGTACCAAGAATATCCAAAACGTCTGTACTTCATTCCCTGGAATAGGTCGAGTACCAAAAACGATGCCAAGAAGAATGTCAAAAAGGATGAAGAATATTTTAAAAATAATGTTTTAAAAAAACTTGTTAAGTTTGATGAACCTGAAACTGCACTGATAGAAAAGTGGTCTACACAGAAACGTCCGATTTTTAACAAACTTCCTGAAAATACTTCTCTCCCTTATGTTTCTCAGCTGAATTTAATGGAAGTACCAAAGTTTGTTAAACTTCATATGCCTAGGCTAACTAAAGAACACTTTGACAACATACTTAAAATGGGGAAGGTTGTTAATAATGAGGAGTTTCAGGAAACATTAGATGTAATGAACAGCGTTCAAGGTGAGAATAAATTAAATGAGCAAAGTGACCATGAGAATGCAATGGATGAGAAGAACGAAATTGAAGTGGTTTCAAGTACTGAAAATGTTGCAGATGTCATGCCTAGTGCAACTGATGAACATAGCAAAAAACCAATCTCTGTAATTGGGAAGAGTTTTAACAGTTTTACACCGATAAATTTTATAAAGTCTGTCGAATATAAAACTACACAACCATTTAAAGAAAGCTGGACTGGTCAGAAACGTCAATCTTTTAGAAAATCTTCTGAAAGCACTCCTTCACCATACATTTGTCAACTTGATTTAATGGAAGTACCAAAGTTAATCAAAATTCCAGCATCTAAGTTTAGAAAAAATCGAAACAAAAAAATAATGTCAATTGTTAAACAAAAGGAACTTAAGCGCACATCGAATGAGAAACTCTGCTTAAATGAACAAAGCACCTCAAAAAATTTAGTGAACATCACGCCTAGTGCAGATGATAAATATCTTGAAAAACTCGATACTAACAAAACACCTAGTCCTATTTTAACCACAACAAAAAAACAGAAAGATTATCGAAACTTACCTACTAAAAATGTAAATACCGAAGGTGAACAAAATTCTCTGCGTTGTAATAAAAATAACAAGAAAAAGGATAACAACGCTCTAAAGACCCCTAATGTAAAGTATAAAAATGAATACAAATTCAATAAGGACAATAGCAGTGACATTGATATAAATAAAATGTGCCCGCCGTTGCCAATAAAGAAGAAGGATGAAGATCGAGACAAATATCTAACTAAAACCCCGAAGCGATATTTTCACCAAAATAAAGTTAGAAAACATGAATCCACATGTTAAATTAAATATGAACAAAATCGAAAGGATAGCAAATATTTAAACAAATGAAATGTTGAAAGCACGTAAAGCATGGAAAGGTGTAGACGAACTATCCTTTCTTATAACTGGAACAATTTTCCAGTTATAAGAAAGGAACTTCATCCTTTTAAGGATTAACCATTGGTATGTTGTTAACTAAAAAAAATTCTCTTTGTTAAGTCATTGATAATCTAATATAGCAATATATTCTAGATAATTGAGATTTTCGGATTATATATCAAAGACATCTTTATTGCATTTTGGTGAATAAAAGTTATGTATTGTTAACAACAGCGAAAAGTTCTGGCATGTTTTGACGGGAATATACAGTTCTACCTTCCATGTATAAGTAATATTTTGTATGGATACTGGAGAGCAACAACTAAGTACTAAGGGGAATTCTAAAAATCTATTACACTTATCCTATGTATAAAAACAAAAAACTTATCTTAATCAGTAAATTCTTTAGACACTATATATAAATGTCAGATAAATGCAAACGAAAACTTATCTTTTAATTTTTGTGTGCTTTTCATCGTGATTATCTAAGAAATGCTTTCAAGATAATTTAGAATAATAACTATTATTTATATATGAAAAGGTTTGAAAAATATTTTTGAATATGAAAGAAGATATTGCTTCAATAGGTAGAAGTCGGGTCATCGTAGATCAGAGATAATAAATAAGAGAAAACATATAATATATAACAATTTTTGCATCATATATAACACAGCATAGATTATATATTTTGTAGATCACAGATTACTCAAGGCGCGGAATCCCATAATAATTTTATTCAACCGGCATAGATTATATATAGTTCAATAAAATATTTATTCGAAAATCGTTGCTTGTGTAGTTCCTTAAAGTACTTATTTATTATAAAAATATATCTATATATTTTTTATTTCATCTTTAAAAAGATTATACAGTCATTCATTTAATTTTGAACAGTCATTCATTGGCTCTTTACAGGTAATTTAAAAACTATCTTCCAGTGTATCTAAGTACGAATAAAATTTAATCTAATTTGTAAAAAAACTCCTTGAGTATGCTTTTTTATATTCTTTATATTTAATATAACACGTATTATATTATATATGTATCATATATATTATATATATATCATATATATTGTATACATACTGTATTATTATATTGCATATATAAATATGTATAGAAATATATATATTTTTCTATTTGTAAATAAATAATTGATTGTTAATAATATGGAAAATAATGAAAATGATTAATTTAATAGAAACTAGAAATTAATGGAAATTAAAGAAGACGGTTTTTATGTAAGTAGGTCTTTACTAAACAGAAGATATATCTCGAATGAATGACAAATTATCTCTTATAGAGAATATTATAAAAGTAAACGGGTATATATACTAGCATTCTAGTATTTTCTTCCTGGCACAGATCGAAGTTCTGCATTCTTAGTATAACCCATATTATATTGCCTCAGATAGATCCATTATATTGAAATAATAACTTTAGCGATGGTAGTCTGAACGATAACCTGATAACAGTCTCTGATATGTTCTACTGAGAAGGGTTGCTTACCATTAGTTAGAAGAACAAACCGGTTCCTTAACCGGGCAGTTACCTAAATTATACCGCCAATACCGTTCACTGTTCTCTCTTATAAAATAAGTCCATTTTAATGTGCATATAATGTTATATGTTATATATATACAAATTAGTTATGTGTAAAGAAATTATTATTTATATATATAGTATATAAATATTAATTTCAATACACATTTTAATATATTGAAATGATGATGCAGGTAATGGTGACCCAAGAGATATCCTATCAATACTGAGAGGGGATTATCCACCTATAGTTAGATGTATAAACCAGTTCCTTTATCTAACAGTAAACTGATTTGACGTCCATACAAGCTCTTAGACGGTTTCATCGAACAAATCTCGGATCAGTTCTAACAGTCTCGAATAAGTTATACTGAGGAAGAGTCCACTACCTGTAGTTAGAAGGACAAAGCAACTCTTGTGCCTCGCAATTACTGGTATTATCATGCCACTATTACCCTCTTTAAGTTACCATCTCCCTTCTTGACAGGGATTTAATTGTTAAGTTAATTGCAGATAACTAGGATGTCTTTGCAGAAAGGTAAGATTGTATATTTTGTTACTCATCAATCTATCATTTAGTTTAGACTGCTAGCTAAACATATTGGTATTTCTATCTTAAAATCTATTCAATAATCAGTTCTTCATTTTGTGATTTAAAGACTTATGATATAATGGTCTTCATAGAATTCATGGCTTATTAGAGAAAAACTTTAAACGTTTACTTAAATTCGTTCAAGGCGCTGAACTGCACTTCATCACTTTTAGAGGAAATGTTGTAGTAACCATTTCAAGAACTCATAAGCAATTTCAATAAGTGACGATTTTGATTTGAATATGTTGACAACACCGACAGAGACGATAGAGACGACAGAGACGACGACACTCACCAAGAACAGCTGCAAATTATGCCAAAAGCATTTGAATTTTTCATAATGTACGCCTCTGTTGAGTTTTACATCTGCTACGCGTGCTGACGTTCAGTCAAGCAATGTTGCATACAATTTGTTGCTGATGCGTTGTTGTTAGTGTTGTTGTTGTTGTTGTTCATACACTGTAAGTAATGTATTTGTTTAGCTGTGGCTGTGGCTGTGGCTGTTGCTGTTGCTGTTGCTGTTGCGTTGCTCTTGTTCGAGGATTGATACTGAGATTGTGCAAATTTTGAAAATTTCGTTTGCATTCCGCATTGTTTATGTTGTCATCTCCTCCGCAGTTGTTGCACATTTATGCATTTGTTGACGATCAAAACAAATGCGACTGACGCAGTGCAGCAAGCAAGCGGAAAATGTTGAGAGGCGCTCATGGTGTGTATGTTACGCATTTTGTTGCCACGCAGCAATTACGATAGCTGCATCACTTTGTTGCATGCCTGCCCATATACGATATTAAGTTGAAATGATTTTTTATGGAATTTTTTTCAGAACTTGTTCCTTAGTTCACTTCTTTTTGTTTTGAAGTTAAATGGGCCAATTTGCTGCCTACAGTGCAATTTACTTTATTAATTTTAAGTTCTTCTGAGCTGCTGCTCCGTTGCTACTGTTGCAAGATAGTTTACATTTACATCCCACAATTTGACATAAACGTGTTGCTCTTCATGGCAGCAGTAGTCGTCGTTGTTGTCGTTGTCGTCTGCGATTTTGAGATGATCACAAACATGAGGCACGAGGCGTTTTCCATGTGTAAAATTAAGTCCGCTGTATGTTCGACTCCAGTCTCCGGTGTATTTTGTACATACTTCAGCCATGTAAGATCTGCCAACTTAATTCATAAATTCAATGTACGAAATTATTTGAATTTAACTTCATTCGCTCATGTCAACACTTAACGTGTCATATCTGCAATTTTAAATGATTTATTTTGAGCATTAGGAACTTAATTATATGTAAGAAGCTAATTTATTCAATTCAAAATAAATGAAATTATTTTTGTATTCCATTTATTATAAATATGTTACCTGATTTCATAGTAGGAGTTCACACACTGGAAGAAATTATTACTTTTAAATAGTGTATACAATATGAAACTAATTATAAGTTTACTTACTGTAATTGAATAATATAATTTATATATCTAACTTAACCAACTAAAGCCATCCCTAAGGAATGCGAAATGGATAAATTCTAGTTATTGGCCCGTTGAGGTCAATATCTGAAACCCCATTCGAGTTATCAAGGGAAAGGCAGACATAAAAATGTAGAAGACAGTATTTAGACAACAAATATATCTAAACTAAATTTGTAAATAAGTGACGGAAGGAAGGGAGTAAGTACTCCCTTCTGTTGTCAGTAAGTACTGACAACAGTATGAACCCACAAACATCTTTTATTTGCTCCATAGATGGTATTGATTTTGATCGTATTCCCAGGATGTTTCGTTTATTGTATTTTGGTAATAATGAATAAACAAAATTATCAATGTTTTTTTAAAATCAAGGTGTAATAAAAACTTATAAATAATCCACAATTATAAATAATCCAAATCAGCAACTACTATAAGAATTTTTAAATTTTTTGTATATTAGAAGATATTAAAACGTTTTACGTCCCTGTATAGGATTGTCGCCTATACATATATCAATAAAAATTGAGATTATTTTAAAAATGTTTAAATTTAAATTATGAAAGCAGCAAGAATTGTTAGGGATATTGTCGATATTATATAGGATATGAATTCTGAATTCTGAAATGTTAGATGTTTTTTATATTAATTCCCAGTACAAAATCATGGAAATGTTTGCTACGTAGGTAAATGAAATGGTTTGAGTTTTCAAATTATAGTATATTGATGTATCTGAAAAAGCACAATCTACGAAAATTGTTTAAAATTGTGAAAGGTGGAGTTGAGAGAAGGTGCGGTGTGGAGATATAAAAAATATTATAGCTTTAGAAACTGCGACAGTGGTTCGATAGGAGCATAAAACTACACGATCGAGAGACTGTAGAGATTGACAAGTCACTTACAAAAAGAAGTTCTTGTTATTTCAAGAGGCTATGGAAAGTTCAAAGGCATTAAATATGTGAACCAGAATTGAACAAATCACTTAAAAGAAAGTTGAGTAGAGTAGACGACACTCATGGTATATTTTTTCTAATACAGCATATACCATATATACCAAGAAGCTAAAAAAGCTGGAACTTTATTATGTTAAAATAAATATCGATATAAATGTATAGATTAAGACGATTTATTAGGGACATCAAATGATTTTGAACGGATTTAGAAAATCGTCAGAACCCTAATAGATTCTATAGATATGTAACTGAAGTAATTTGCTATACATTGCTTCTACTTTATCTGATTGAATTTAAGAGGGTATTTATTTTTTATATAAATATATTGTCAATTAAACAGTTAAAATATAAATTGTGTTTGAATGTAATTCTTATGACATATTTATGGTCCTTAAATGACATCTTAAATTAAATTTTATATATATTTCATATGGAAAGATATGATGCATCTATTACAGCTATTAACAGTTATCTGATAATATTTAATATTATATAAATATTTTAATAAAATATTTTATAAAAAATAATATTTTATAAAAATAATATAATGTACTATATAATGAAGTATATTTGTAATATTATTTATATAAATTAACTTAAAATTCTTTAAAATTCATTAAAAATATTAATTTTTATTATCGAGTTTAATATGCTTAAAACTCATTATTATGCGGGGTTGGTTTATAACGGCGATCCAATGAATACAAGTAGGTCCATTGTGACCTATTGTTCCATTGTGTTATCGTATAAGAAAGCAGAAGCTTCGAAGTTTCCACTTTAATCCCACTTCGAGCCTCTTTTGAATCTTTGGCAAGGTTTAAAATGATCTTTACAGGGACGTCTGGGATTGGGTCAAGATTCAAAAATAAATTAATTATGTTATATTTAAAATTCGA